AATTTTTAATTTTATATTGTATTGTCGCTGATGATGATCCGAAACGAAGGATCGAAACGTTCGACATAATATCTATGTTATAGATTTTAAGATTATATTTTTACGCACTGCTAACAGCGTTGACTCTTAATAGCCTTTGTATTTACTTAAAATTTTTTGTATTGTTTTTGAAACATATAAGAGTCTATAATTCAATTATATTATTAATTTATTAATTTTTTATAACACAGAAATTTTAATTCAAAATTCAAAATAAATACTACATAAATATAATATCCAGACGTTTCGACACCCGCGATCGAGTCATTTTCAATGTTACATTAAAATATTGCAAGAAAAAGAATACATAATTTTCGAAATTATACTAGAAGGTTTGCGGGTTATCGCCGTGTCTTTCTTCATTATTAATGCCAACGTTTCGTGAACCATGCCGTTCACTTCATCAGGGCGAGAGGTGCACTGATACAGTATCTCGCCTTATCTTGTATTATTATAATTGTTGTGTATTAGTATAATTGTGTAATAGTTAAAAACCAGGGATGGGAAAGTTACTTTGTAAAAGTAATTAATTACAGTTACAGTTTTTCCCTTTCAAAAAATAATTAATTACCGTTACAAGTTATTGACTCTGAAAAGCAATTCGTTATAGTTACAGTTACTGAAAAAGTAACTTTAAGTTACTTTTGAGTCACTTTTTTTATCGGAATTTTTACTAGTTAGTAGCATCGATACCATTAAGACTGCATTCAGAAACGTTACCCGACTGCCTTCATGTATCGTTTTACCCTTGTTTTTTATGTAATATGAAACAAAAATGACACACGAGGTCATCAGAGTAATGCAGCCTAGGACAATAAAAATAAGTCTGGTTTACATTTACATGTTACACAATTTTATTCAAAAAGATAAGAAAATTGTTATGGCAAAGACATTTTTCGTTAAAGTAACATAAACACATATGAATATAAATACATATACACATATACAATGTTTTTTATAAAAAAAATTCTTTTTATATTCGACTAAAAGTTGCAAATAAATTCCAGCACTAATCTAAAATAGATCACGTGATTGTGTTCAGACAACGGCTCAGGTACATTTAGTACTACAACCGTTCATTGAGCACTCTTGCATTTGATTGGCGGATTCCATTAGATCCAAGAATATCTGGAGACACGGTAGTGTCTCGGCGCTAAGCCAAGCGCCGCGACACTGCCGTGCCTCCTTTACGCGAATCTGAGAATTTCGGGGGATTGAGATGATCAAATCTCAGTAACGGCTGAACGGATCAAGCTCTATATACGCTCAATCGATAGCAATTGTTTAAATTGTATAATAAAAGTGCTTTTATTTTTCCTCTATGTGCACTACGAGCGGAGATATCGTGACGCAAAGTCCGAATCTGTAAATTTTGACGTTTTATTTTTAAGATACGTCGTCGTCATTATTGTCGTCGTCGTTGTCGTCGTCGACAATATTCCATTCGATATAGATCAAACAGGTACAAGAATTCGTTGATCGCTTTAATTAAATTTCTTTTTTCTGATTAATCAAATGTTTCGTAGCATATGTAGCGCCAAATGGATACTACCGCACACTAAATTGACAAATGTGTTTAAAATATATATAATAACTATAAATATAACTATTAAATAAGTTATTAGAGTTTCTTAAAAGATGTAACTAACAAGGGGAGGGCGCGAGGTGTTACTCACCGATTTTAAAAGGCTTATGAATGTTAAAGTACTCTAGTAATAGAGTACTTTGGTAAAGGGATACGACCCAACTCTCAGTCGCCTTCTCGACAATGGGTTTAACGCGACCGGTATATACGGAACTGTAAACTTTAAACCGGTTTTTCTCGAAAACGGTTGAGAGTTGGGTCGTATTTCTTTACCAAAGTACTCTAATACTAGAGTACTTTAACATATATAAGCCTTTTTAAAATCGGTGAGTAACACCTCGCGCCCTCCCCTTGTAAGTTGAGTTATAATTACAGATGGAAAGAAAGTAACGAAGTTAAATTACAGTTACTGAAAACATCAATTCTAACTGTAACTTCGTTACAAGTAACGAGTTACTTTCCATCCCTGTTAAAAACTCATGTTAATCGTTAAAAATTACTTAACAATGTTATAAAATGTTATATTGCTTATAATTGGTATTTAAATAATCTTTCTGGCACATGATTTGATTAAGAAATATTTTTTTCGATGATATAGAAAACAATCGTACGAAGGAGCATCAAAGTAGGTATAATATTATACGAAGTTAAACTTTACATCAAGACTTGTTCTTTGAGCAATTTTGATTAAGAAATAACAAGATAGATTGTAAGATAAATATGAAGCTTCTATCGTTTTTACCTTGTAATACATAAATTATCATGTAAATAGCATAACGCTGATATGCGTAGTCCGATATATATAAACCTGTTGTATCGATAATGCATAAACTCAACCCGTAGAATAATTGTAGAGTCTGGAGACACGGTAGTGTCTCGGCGCTAAGCCAAGCGCGCGACACTGCCGTGCCTCCTTTACGCGACACGGAGAATTTTCGGGGTCGAGATGATCAGATCTCAGTAACGGCTGAACCGATCAAGTTCTACATACGCTCAATCGACAGGAAATACTTAAATTGTATAATAAAAGTGCTTTCATTTTTTTTCCTACGTGCCCTACGAGCGGAGATATCGCGACGCAAAGTCCGGATCTGTGAATTTTCACGTTTCAATTTTTAAGATACGTCGTCGTCAACGTCGTCGACCAGAGAAAATGTCCATCTCGTTTTTTCGATAATAGAGGGCCTTTGACTTTATGTGTTATCTCACTCTATCTATCATCTCACTCTATCTATCTATATCTAACCAGCAGACCAGTGTTGCATGGTGTATCACATATGACGCGCGCGCGATTTTAATCTTATAATTAAAAATAAAATATTATTCAATATAATATAAAATATATATGTTATTATATAAATATTAAAATTGAAATATTGAAATATGTTTATCGTCGAGGAAATATAAGTGTCTACGTGTTTGATTTCGAGGAAGTAAGTGTCTAGGTGTTCGCCTTCGAGGAAGTGGGTGTCTACGTGTTCGTCTTCGAGGAAGCGAGTGTCTAGGTGTTCGCCTTCGAGAAAGTGAGTGTCTAGGTGTTCGCCGTCGAGGAAATGGATGTCTAGGTGTTCGCCGTCAAGGAAATGGTGTCTACGTGTTTGATTTCGAGGAAGTGAGTGTCTAGGTGTTTGCCTTCGAGGAAGTGAGTGTCTAGGTGTTCGCCGTCGAGGAAGTGGGTGTCTACGTGTTCGCCTTCGAGGAAGAAAGTGTCTAAGTGTTTGCTTTCGAGGAAGTAAGTGTCAAGGTGTTCGCCGTCGAGGAAATGGGTTTGTTTGTAAGAAACGTCGTCGTCGTCGTCGTCGTCGTCATTGTCGTCATTGTTGCCAGCTACGGAGTGAGAAAATGCATTCTGGAATTTTTGGCGCAAGAGATAAATGTGGTCGCGAGGAGTATCTATAAATCTATAATATCGATCGCTGCGATCTGTACGATCGTTGAAGTCGGATTATTAAGATTGAGGTTGAGAAATCTGTGACATCGATGGCATAGACGAACACGTAAGTGAGGTTAGAATAAATATCGACCGCTGCGATCTGAACGATCGTTGAAGTCAGATAAAGAGTCGGCAATAATGTACAAAGGATTGAGGTTAGGAAATTTGTCACATGGATGGCATAGAATAGACGAACACGTAAGTGAGGTTAGATATTTTCTTCTTTATTGCACAGATTCTCTGCTGTAATTCCGCTGTAAGAATACAAATTATTTTCTATGTAATTATTTTCTTTTTACAGCATTTGGTTAGGTTGCTTATTTACCGAGACACTACCGTGTCTCCAGATCTGTTATTTATTTGTTTGGTAGATACCTTAATTTGTCTTCTCTATTCCTTATATAATTATAAAAGAATTCATTCTTTTTGTACTTTGTTGATAGGAAAAGTCTGAAAAGAAAAAAGGTACGGATTATAAAGATTCCTCCCCTTTCTTTTCAGGACTTTCCCTTCAATAAATCTGAAGATAAAATACAGCACAAAGAATCAATTCTTTTATAATAATAAAGATAATACTTATTTATGCAGTTACTCAAAACATAAAATTACTTGGTTTTAATATTGAAATCTTTAAAACTTTAAATAATTATATAATAATTGAAATATATTATCATGGATAGTAACTTATTATTGAAGGTGTCAGTTCAAAGTGAACATTCATTGTTACGGAATTATCGTCATTAAATTATATTCGTGACAATTCCACGCATCCACGTATCCCCGTACGCGTAGCTCTCGCTGTTTCTTTCTTTAATCCACCTGTCTCAGATGGAATGCTCGCCCCTCTGCGCAGCACCCGAAATTACGCGTTCCGCGCACTCGTTCTGCGTTGAATCCTTCTTTTTCGCAGTCTGATCTCGATCGTTACCAGATCAATATCTCGTAGTCTCGCCTCGCAAACGTGTGCTCCGGAGTAAGCAACTAACGAATACAACACATATTTTCACGTTGCCTGTCAAGTGAACTCTATGATTGTAATACGCATCGCGAGTGTAGACCGAGCAAGCGCATTATATTGCGCGAACTGACTTTCATATCGACCTCTCAATTAACTATCACCTTATTGACGAGTCGTAGCGAGCCGTGACGTACAGCGATATGCGGCTAATCAAGCCTGTATTATTCACACGATAACCTGATTCTAATTATCTAATAGGCATCAATAAATTGTGAATTGTTAGTTGTTCAAACAAGAAAGTTCTCATTTACGACCGCCTGGGTGAGCGAGCCTTCCATTCCAAGGCGACACCAGCGCAAAAACGATACCAGTCACAAACAAAACATTTTGGTCCTTCGAGCCGGATCGCTACCGAGGATAAATACTGTGTCTACTGACTTGTCTTTGACTCGTTATTTATTGACGTGCCTCTTCCGTTGGAAATCATGGCCTCTATCGATGAATTGTTGAGGATGCAGACTCACCTGATGAGCGCAATATCTCGCGCGCTTCCTAATTTCAAGAAGTTGGGACAAGCCAAGATGACCCCTGCCGTCACTCGGCAGCGCCTCACCACTCTCAAGGAAACCTTTGCCAAATGCCAAGAGCTGGATGTTCAACTTTTAGCTGCGGACGAGAAAGTGAAGGCGACTCATGCGTACTTCACCCAAAATTATTTCCTAACCTGTGAGGATTGTTACAACGATGCAGCCGATTTCATGGCTGAACTACTGGACAGTCACGAATCCCGCGAATCCTCTTCCGCTGCATATGAAGTAAGTGGGATTAATCATTCATTTCGGGCCATGTCACATCTGCCGAGAATCAACTTGCCGACGTTCGACGGAACCTTCGAGAAATGGGAAAGTTTTCGCGACAAATTCAAATCGATGATCTGCGATGATCATAATTTAACGAATGTTGATCGTATGCATTACTTGTGTTCCTGTGTAAAAGGAAGTGCAAGTAACGTTCTTGACCATCTAGCGGTTACCAATAATAATTTCACTATCGCTTGGAATATTCTCGTGTCTCGGTATGACAATAAACGTCGCCTTATTACGGTACATTTACAATCGCTTGTCAATTTACCTTCGATCGCTTCAGAGACCTCCAACGACCTTCGTTCCCTTCGCGATCAAACGAATAAAGCTCTTCAAGCGCTAAGCAATCTCGGCTGCGCTACCGAACACTGGGATGATTTGCTTGTATTTCTAGTGTCACAAAAACTTGATAAATCAACACGAAAGGCGTGGGAACTTAAGCTCGGCGATACGGTGGAATATCCACGTTACAGCGAGCTCGATCGTTTTCTCGAAGCTCGCATTCGCGCGTTCGACGCAATAGCACCCGCGACTTCAAAAGATAAATCACCGACGACCTCCAAAGGCAAAACACTTGCCTCACATGCCGCGTCTACCGCTCCGTTCTTATGTCCATTATGTAAAGCGAACCATCTATTGTATCAATGCGCTACGTTTTTAAAGCAAACTCCCGTTCAACGGTTCGATTTCATTAAAACCCAAAAGCGATGTTCCAACTGTTTCAGTGTAAAACATTCTGTTAAGGATTGTACGAATTCTCGCTCGTGCAAACAATGTAATAAACGGCATCACACGTTACTACATTTTGACACCCCCGCTCAGCCACTCGCTGCTGAGCCACCGTCGACGTCCACGACCGCGAATATTGAGAGTCTAAGCGCCGTTGCGTCGCATTTAATAACAAAAACAGTAGCACCGAATTCTCAAATCTTACTCGCAACAGCCCGCGTACGCGTTTATTCGTCTCATATATGCTTTGTAAATGCTCGTGCGCTCCTTGATCAAGGATCTGCCGCTACCTTTATAACAGAATCGCTTGCGCAACGCCTAAGACTTAAGAAAATTAATCGTTCCGCCTTCATCACCGGTATAAGCGAAATGCAGTCCGTCGTGCGTTACGCTGCCCAAATTACCATTACCCCCGCGGATCGCGATGGACCTGCTTACTCGACAATCGCGCTTATATTACGATCATTAACCAAATACGTGCCAAACCAAATCGAGACAGCTCGTAAATGGAGCCACCTCAGGGGACTTAAGTTTGCCGATGGTGACCCTATGAGCTCAGATCCGATTGACCTTATCATCGGTGCCGATCTATTCGGCCTGCTCATCCTCAACGGAGTTCGAAAGGGATCTCCAAATGAACCTACCGCGCAAAATACCTCTCTCGGTTGGATCCTTTCAGGACCAACAGCCTCGTTTTCAGCTAATCAGTCTACTATCGAATTTGCGCATCACGGTGTTGTCCTTGACACTCTCGATCGCGATCTTCGTCGATTCTGGGAGATCGAGGAAGTCCCTAGGCAAATTCTTCGCAGCCCTGAGGAACATCAGTGCGATGAACACTTCAGAACAACACACACACGCACGTCTAACGGACGCTATATAGTACGACTGCCGTTTAAAATCGGACCGCCAATCTCATTAGGCGAATCTCGCTCTAACGCGATTTCAAGCTTTCATAGCATGGAACAACGCCTACTTCGAGACACAACCAAAGCTTCCTTGTACCGCGATTTTCTCACAGAATATGAAACCCTCGGTCATATGACCAAAATTACACCAACCGAAATTGTTACATCAAACCAAGTTTACTATATCCCGCATCATGCTGTCCTACGCGACAGCAGTGCAACCACACGACTCCGAGTAGTCTTCAACGCATCTTGCCGTACTTCAAACGGGATGTCGTTGAACGATCATATGCTCATTGGCCCTAAACTGCAAAGGGACTTAGCCACGGTCATCATGCAGTGGCGCCAATACCGTTACGTATTCACCGCCGACATTGCAAAAATGTACCGGCAAATTTTAGTCGATTCACGCGACACCAACTACCAACGCATTATATGGCGACCGAACTCCGGTGAACCAATCACGGAGTACCGTCTTCTCACAGTAACCTACAGCACAGCTGCCGCTCCATATTTAGCCCTCCGAGTCTTGGATCAGCTTGTAGACGATGAAGGAGCCAAATTTCCGCTAGCCGCCCCCGTTCTCCGTCATCAGACATATGTCGACGACTGCGCCTTCGGCGCCGACGACCAAAATCTCGCTCGTCAAAAACGCGATCAATTAATAGAATTGCTTAAAAGGGGAGGCTTTCACCTTCGCAAATGGGCAAGTAACGACTCGGATCTGTTATCCGATATCGATTCATCCGATCATGGTTTAGCCACTCATAAAGTCATGCAAGACGATGAGCATATTAAGGTATTAGGAATAATTTGGAATCCTAAATTAGATATATTTCAATTTCGCGTCACTCTACCATCGTCACCCGTCTGCACCAAACGAGTCATTCTGTCAACAACTGCTAAGTTTTTTGATCCATTAGGATGGGCTACCCCTGTCACTGTCACAGCCAAAATTTTCTTGCAACGATTGTGGGCACTTCATTGCCACTGGGATGATGAAATCCCTCGCCAACTTCTTGATTGTTGGATGGACTATTATAAACGACTTCCGTGCCTTAATGCTCTGAGCATACCGCGCTGGACCACTTCCAGTTCTCAGACGGTACACCGCGCCCTTCACGGTTTTTCCGACGCATCGACAGCAGCTTACGCTGCAGTGGTGTATCTTCGCACCGTCAATCACGACGGCTCCGTTACCGTAACTCTTCTAACTGCCAAATCAAAAGTGGCACCTCTTAAAACGATAAGCGTTCCCCGCTTAGAATTGTCCGCTGCAATGCTCCTCGCGCGGTTAATTCAATTTACGCGCTCAGCGCTTCAGCTCCCGAATATAGAGTGTCATTGCTGGACTGACTCCA